ACCCAGGAGGACACCACTGCTGACACAAAGGCATAAAAAAAAGCAAGACTGGAGTATGCCAAAACTGATGTGACAAACCCACAATCCTTCTGGGAGAACATATGGTGGACAGATGATACAAAAGTAGAGCTTTTTGGTCAATGACATCATGGCACTGTTTAAAGAAAAAGAAATGAGGAATTCAAAGAAAAGAACACAGTCCCTACAGTCAAACATGGTTTTGGGGTTGCTTTGCTGCTTCTGGCACTGGATGCATTGACTATGGGAACAGCATCATGAAATCTGATGATTACCAAAGAATTTTGGGGATGCACCATAGTGGCCAGTATCAGAAAGCTGCGTCTCCATCAGAGGTCATGGGTCTTCCAGCAGGACAATGAATTGAAACACACTTCAAAAAGCACTCAGAAATGGTTACAAACAAAGTGCTGGAGAGTTCTGAAATGGCCAGCAGTGAGTCCAGATCTGAATCACATAGAACACCTGTGGAGAGATCTCAAAACAGTAGTTGGGAGAAGGCGTCTTTCAAATCTGAAGGAGCAAGTTTGCAAAAGAAGAGTAGTCCAAAATGCCAGTAGAGAGGTGTAAGAAACTCATTCATGGTCACAGGAAGCGACTGATTTCAGTTATTTTTGCCAAAAGGGGATGCAACCAGATATTATGTTAAGGGTGCCAATAATTTTGGCCAGTGCATTTTTATGTTTCTGTGTGGGATTATATCAGATTTGACTTTTCTTCTCTGTTTTTTGTGTTGTTCCAACACAAACTAAAGAAATGAACATGTGAATACCAAAACATTTGCAACTGCAACAATTTTCTGAGAGAAGGGTTGCATTTTCTGACAGATTTTGCAATTTTTGGCTATGACTGTATTTAGTAAAAAAAATAATTTATGCTACAGATACATAGAACTGAAAGTGACATCAAAAGCGACTCATACAACTTCCTGCCAATGTTGGAAATCCACAGCATCTCTCCAGTATCAAAGTAAGCATTGTACAACATGCAAGGTCTGTTTAATGATCCATATGAAATGGAAGGGAGAGAATTTCTCAAGGGTGGCTTCCCAAATCTGGAATGCTCTCCCAGCATCTTTTTTCAAAACGCCTTTCTTTCCCCTAAGCTTTGATAATTTTGTTTAAACCAAATGCTATTTTTAAGTTACTTTTTAAAAATTCTAAATATGTGATTTTAAAATTACTTTAGAATGAGAATATAATCCGCTGCTTTTAGTATCATGTAGCACTGGTGTTTATGAGCTATTTTAAACAATGTATGGTACCAATTTTCACAATACATAAACAATACATAAACAGCAGCTGTATTTTAGACTAAGAATGGGATGGGATTTTTGGATTTCAAGGACTCCCACAATTCAGTGGGAAACATGCACACCCCAGGAGAAATTATGAGACTGGGAGCCCTCAAGCTGGCAGGAGGCAGACAGACCCCCTCATTGGCATGCCATTTCCATGTTGCTGCTTCAAACTGTTAGAAGGAGGCAGGCTCTGTCAGAACCCATCCCTCCCTCTGTGCACTTTTGTGAGTCACAGGGAATCCTCATGATGCTCACAGTGCTGTGGGGCATCTTTCTAACTGTTTGAAGAAGCGGTCCAAGTAGAGGGAGATGAGGAAGCGGCTCTATCTCCTGCTAGTCTGAGGGTTCCCAGTTCTATAAATCAGCCTGGGGGGAGTGTTTTGACAAATTATGGGAGTCCTTGAATGTCAGAAATCCCACTCCTTATTTAGACTCTACACAAACATTTGTGTCACATATACTTAATTTTGAAGACTAACTGGTAATATTCATTTATTTACCACCCCATTAGTGCAAGCACTTCTTTGTCTTTTGCTATAAATACTCTTCAAAAGTTATGTTTCTAAGATCTTACCACAAGTATCTTACCTGTGCAACAATAGACAGAATTCCAATCACAGCTATAAATGCTGCAATGCTGGCATATTCAAATTTTATCACCTGTAGAAAAACGCAAATAGGAAAACAATTTGTATATGAAGCTTAAAGATAGCTGCTATTTCCAGCAGATGTGTAACATGGTTAGCATCATAGGTCAACTTATAAAACTAAGCAAGTAGGAAAAAGATTATTTCTCTCATAAGAACTGATCTGAAATGCTAGCTGGACGAAAGTGGTTTCAGAGGCTTTGACCACAGAACTTCACGTGATTCAAAAGAACTGAGATTACATATAAACTATAAGTATGTAGAAAAGAGTTGAGATTAAGTACAGGCAGTAAGTCAATGTTTAGTAAAACAAAAGTTACAACATGGTTTTTGTGGGTTTTTTGGGGTTCTTTGGCCGTGTTCTGAAGGTTGTTCTTCCTGACGTTTCGCCAGTCTCTGTGGCCAGCATCTTCAGAGGACTGGAGTAGGAACTCTGTCCATGTCCTCTGAAGATGCCGGCCAGAGAGACTGGCGAAATGTCAGGAAGAACAACCTTCAGAACATGGCCAAAGAACCCGAATAACCCACAACAACCATCAGATCCTGGCCGTGAAAGCCTTTGAGAATACAAAAGTTACAACAGATTGCTTAATGATATAGCCTGTAAGATGTGTCACACTTTGTATGAGATTATAAACGTAGCTCCCTAGCTGGAGATAAGGAGAATCATCAGCACACATCTATAGTTCCACTAAAATAATGTGAACATTTAAGTCATATTTCTCCTAAAATGATATTCAACTACTGTACAATATTTACTGGATGGGAGGTGGGTGGAATCTTCCAGCTGTCAAAAAACTGCCAGATGCGTGGCCTTAAATGAAAACTGAAGCGAAATATACTCTACCTTAATCTAATTCTAATTTGACAAAGGGCAACCAGTCACTGGTAAACTGTTAAGTTTTCTTCAAATGGTTATGTCATATCCTCTTTATCTTGTACAGGCTACTGGAGAGATATCATTGACTGCTCCTTATATCTACTTTTTACCCTACAAACATGTGTCCCATTCCTTTCACACCCCTTCATCACTTCCTATTCATTTTTTTTGTTTCCTCTAACTTAACTTCTACATCACCAACCAGAATCTACTCTTTCTGGTTGTTCTGAGACTTTAGAAGAGAAAATCAGCACACACTATCATTAGCCATGGAACAAGGGCTGTTAGAATTCACCTTCTGCCTCTGAGAAACAACATAATGAACAGTAGACTCTTTTGCCCTGGACTAGAGATGTACCAGACACAGGAAGCTTAGTCCTCTCCTTCAGAACTAAAAATAAGCCTGTAAGTTTGTCTGCTTTCTCCTCCTCTCTTCCAATCCTTTATACCTGCTGTAGTTCTAAAGCAGGCCATGACAGCTGTACTCACATAAGTATCTTTCCCTTCAAGTTAATTATATGTATTAGCACCTTATTTAAGTCACCTTCATGCTGTTCTCTGCTTCTAGCTTAGGATCCTGCATATGCATTAAATATCTTTTGAAAAAGAAGATTTGACTTTCTATTTACTTTGTTTATCTGGAACATACCATACACACTTATTAGAAGGCTTGGTATTTTCTGAAACTTTTGCTTGTGCCTAACAATGATGAGAACTTGTTTCCAGCTTGCTCTCTCTTTAAAAAATGGAATTTAACAATTCTGGGATAACTGCAAGTGCTTTCAAACAGTGAACAAACACACATCTTGGATGCGGTAGTATTTTGTTCTGTTCAGTAGGACGTGCATGGAAGAGTTCTGTCTGTAAGTGGGGTGAAAAGTCTTGCAATTTTAAAACTCAGAATGTGTGTCAGCCTTTCAAAATACGATGAACATAATATTGCCTGCCATGGGTGCCTATGATCATACCCTTAAGGTCCTTGTACCAGGCCAGCCGAAAGGAACCTTTCTCCTTTTTTTTCAGCTGAAAAGAAACCAAAGCTGAACCTCCTGTGTTGCTGAAAGTAGCTTGGGTGGCACTGATGGCCAATGAGAGGGGCAATAATAGGGCACTGTATGAAAAGCCAGTGGGATTATCTCACTGCAATACAATTAGCCATGAAGCCTCCATTTTGGCTAACTCTACTACTTCACAATATTTGCAGTTTTACTGATGACTGACACTTTGATAAAGACTGCTGTAACTGTAGGGTATAACGGTGATTTACTCTTCATAATTATGATACTTTAAAGCTTCAGTTGCTCCCTGGGTGCATTCTGAATTTAAGAACACATCGGGGTCTATTGGACAGTTTAGGAAAAAAAGCATGAACAAAATATCCCAAATGTACTCACTTGTCTCAAATACAGAAAAAAGCTTGAATACTGGCCAGCCTCTGGCAGGTAAGAAAGAAAGACGGTAATGCAAGTCAGCAAGATGGTAGAATCTTTCCCAACTTTTCTCAGAGACTGTCAAAAGATTGAAGAAAACCACTGTGAGCTGGAAGGAGCTGGAAAGGATTACATTTCAACAAAGTAACTTCTTTTCTCTGTTGTGTCACCTAAACAAAAATGAACCACATGCTTCTATAGTGGTGCCACTATCCTCTGCAAAGCCCCTTTAGACTAAAAAGAGGATCTTCTACTCACTCATGGAGGTCCCGCTACTCCTAGCCAGTAAACCCGGCCTGTAGCAGCTGTGGATAATGTTGTGTCTCTCTGTTTTATTGTCTTCCATAATACACTAGTGAAGATGTCAGGCACAATCTCTTCTGAATTACATATCAGGATCAGGTAAATGATACTGAAGAACACAAGCCAAGAGGGCCTGAGGTCTCTCATTTTCTCTGTAGCTTCCCTGTCTCCACATGGTGCCTAGATTTGTCTGGGCAGCCCTGCATTCTTCACTGCATGACTCAGCACTGAAACAAAAGGCTGTACTAAGCAGTGCAAGGTTCCTCAGGATTTTACCATAATTAGGACTCTACCAACATAACCACAATAGTCAACTAGTTTCCCATTTGAACTACAAATAGCAGCCCTGGGATCAGCTCAGATCCTTGTAGAGTGGAAGAACCGGGTTCCAAAAAACTATGTACTGTATACAAACTTCAAGCCTGTTGCCTCTGGCAGCTCAGAGCTGTTTCCACCCACATGTGAGGGTTGGAAGAGTACTGCAGGCATGCAAGATGCGATTCTGATTTAGTCAGTGGATTAAAATTACGTTTTGCTGAAAATGAACCTGCTCATTTATTATCTTCTACAAACTAAAGCACATCACTCTTTAACAATAAAGGAAAATGAACACAAAACAGTAACTTACTGCAAAAGGATCTGCTTGTTCCCATGATATAAGGGCTCCCCATGAAGGTGGCCTCATTTTTTCAGGCAGAGATTCCGGTACAGCCAGCAAAATGAAACAGATATCTGCAACAGCCACTACTGTTGCAACTAACACCACCAAATTATCACCATACAGAGTAGACAGGTGTGCTCCAATTGCAGGACTAGTTACCAAACTTGCTGCAAATGTGGCAGATACCTAAGGATAAAGACATCTGAGTAATACCAAATGCAATGAAACTATTTGGAATGCTAATTGGCTACAGAGAAAAAAAAATATCAATCAGTCCCCCTACTGATGTGACAAAATGGCAAAGAAAGATAAGTTATTTCAAACCACTTGCAAAAAAATTATTGATCCCAGTTTAAGAGAACTACTTGTAAAGTACAGAGAATATATGCATGCCAAACAATGTCATCACTTTGAAGTTTAAATGTCTTTACTTATATCTAATAGCACAGTCTCTTTGTGCATGTACTAAGTACAGTAGGACTGCCATATACATGGGATCGGAACTCAGAGTTTCACTATTCGCTGCCTGAAAACATGATATAACACCCCTCTCCCAGAAATATGCATTTCCAAGGTGCATTACCAAAACTAGAGGGAACCAGAGACTATGCTATATACAGTGGTGCCTCAAAAGACAATTTTTATTCATTCCACGGAAATCGCTGTCTTGCGAAACCCAGTAGAAGACATCGTCTTGCAAAACACAGTTCCCCATACCATATTGGGAAAAAGCTATCCCCTCACCTGCACTGCCTTTGGAAATGCAGTGGGTCTCAGATGGCCATCCCTCTCTCTCACTAGCAAAGAGAGTGAAAGGAGTCAAAGCAGCCCCCAGTTCCTGATAATGGTGACTCCTTTTGCCCTGTTCCTTTACCACAGGGGAGGAAAAGAGGAAAGCAATATAAGACATCACCAGGACTTGCTGCCTTTGCAATAGGTCCTGATGAGAAGAAAAAGAAATAAAAAGAAATTTAGGAAAACCAGGGAAATCACAAGGGCAATCCCCCATTAACACAAATTATACAGTTGAGTTCCCCACATTTGGGGAAATCATAGGGATCAGCAGCACACCCAAAGTGCAATGGATGAGCCTCCCCCTGGGAAAACCACTTTTATGACATGGTATTTCCCCTACAAGGTATGAGTTGGAATGGCCCTTGCAACTCCTACCCCCTTCTGTCCCCCCCAAGGCATGGTGACCCCCTGGCTGCACCTCCCACTCAATACGGGGCTGCACAGCCCCAGTCCTGCCAGAGCCCAAGAGAGTTCCTCGGTGTTTTGGGGTGCTCTGCAGGACCCCCATCAGGGGCTAGCTGTTCCTCCCACAATCCTCTAGTGCACAGATGGCGGGAGGAACACTTAGCCCCTGATGGGGGTCCTGCAGGGCCCCCCAAAACACCGAGGAGCGGGGGGGGGTCAGGGGACAGAAGGGGGTAGGAGTTGCAAGGGCCATTCCAGCTCATACCTTGCAGGAGAAATACCATGTCATAAAAGTGGTTTTCCCAGGGGGAGGTTTATTGCACTTTGGGTGTGCTGCTGATCCCTATGATTTCCCCAAATGTGGGGAACTCAACTGTATAATTTATGTTAATAGGGGATTACCCTTGTGTTTTTACAATCTCTTTACCCTTTGGTTCCTGGCTGTTTTCACCATCCTCTATCATTTAAATTTGCAGCCATAGCCCCATTGGCAACGTTTTGCAAGATGGTGTTTTCTCCCATTGAAACACATTAATTACATAAGACTTATTTTTTATATCTAGACCAGCTTCTGGTATCCCACAGTGGTCCCACCAGATGCCTCTGGGAGCCTCCCTAAAAAAGTGGGGCAGAAAGTGTATGTTGCTATTTTTTCAGGAGGCTTTGGAAAGCCAGCAACATACACTTTCTCCCGCACTGTCTTAAGTAATTAATGTGTGTTCCAGTGGGGGGAAACCATCTTGTGAAACATGCGAGGCAAAGCACCGCTGTATAGGGTTTTGATATCTGCGCTTTTCAGCATCCATGGTGAGTGCAGGCTTGGAACCTATTTTCTGCAGATATGGCAGTTCTACTGTATAGCCAATGTGATGCAGTGATTAGCACTTGACTACAGACTGGTAACACTTTGGTTCAAATCCCTCTGAGCAATGGCATGCATTTTATAACCCTGAGTATGTCACTCTCTCTCAGACTGACCTACCTGGTGTTGGGATAAACTGGAGAAGAGGAGAGCTACCTACACTGCTGGAAACTCTCTGGAGGAAAGGTGCAAATAAATGTAATGAACAAGATAGATTTTTTTTTCTGGAATCAGAATAGAAAATAGTCTTAATTTTTCATCCATTTAAACCAACAATCCAGGGACAGGTTATCCTCCCCTCCAGTGAGAGGCAAATAGAGACTCGTGCCCAAAGATCACGCATGTGATTTATGTGAAGAACCAGCAGATTGCACAGAAACTTGCATTTCTCTCAAGCTCGTAAACTGTCCCCGTCTTAGACAAGCCGCTGCTGCTCAAAAACTGGCACTGACAGCCACGAAGCTGATTTGGAGAATATCTACTCTAATTTTGCCACTGACCTTATGTTTAGGTTAATATGCTTTCCCAGATGACACCTGAAGAGCCTGGGATCTCCCAAGTTCCATTCTTAAGTCTACACCATGACTCTTGAAATGCCTCATAAGAACATAAGAAGGGTCCTGCTGGATCAGGCCAAGGGCCCGTCTAGTCCAGCTTCCAGTATCCCACAGTGGCCGCACCAGATGCCTCTGGGAGTCTCCCTATGAGACCCACTGCAATTATATTTACAAGAATAGGTGATACCTTTATAGGCCACACGGGAGCCTCCCTATGAGACCCACTGCAATTATGTTTACAATAGGTAATACCTTTATAGGCCACATAGCTCACCCCTTGTATTTCAATGCAAATATGCTTCTGACAATAGAAGCACCAAAAGCTCCAGACATCAGCAGTGAGGCTCCCCCAGGAAAGGAATCAGGGGTGCACAGCTTAATCAAGCCAAGAAACCACACTTTATGCTGTATGTGCACAGCTGGCTCTACCTCCCTTTTGCCTTAATGACTCCTGGCAATTTCAGGCAGAAGGAGAATTAGGAAGCTGCCTTACATTGACTGGTCCACAAATCCCATCCATACTGAATATCTGCAATTCTCCTGCAGTTCAGGTAGACTTCTTCGCTAACCTTACCTGGAGACATTGACCCTTGGGGCCTTCTGCATGCAAGACTGATACTCTATCAGTGAGGCACAGAATACAAACACTCTACATGTTAGTGACTCTCCAAGTTCATTCATGCTCCAGAGCACAAGGAAACTGCAGCTTTTGAGGGCCACATTTACTATTGAAGCAATATCAATATGGTACACCAGGCTGTTCATTGAAGCTACACCGCTGCCCAGAAGCAGTCAGTAGCAGAGTAGTGGGACCTGACTCCAAGATTTTCACTCACTGGAATTCAGACAACAGAGCCACAAAAGCACACAGGCAACTGAAACAAACAGCCCACCAACCGCAACCACCCACCAACACCAGCCACATGAAAAGACAAAGTTCGAGATAACCTTAAAGGTCAATTAGTCCAGAGCTCTGCCATAGGAGAAGAATGTTTCCTTTTAGTTGGTTAAAGAATACACAGGACAAAGACTAACATTGTGTTACCACCAGCACAACGCCAATGGACATAATATGATGCTGTGTTCTCCTGGTGTGGAGCTAAATTGTGGCATTTTTTTCCCTATATTTAGGGTCAGTGAGCGGGTTCAGCTTTCATCCAAGTTTCAGCATCGGTGCCACAAATTCTTGTAGCCTTTGTAAGTCTCTGAAACAAAAAAGAACTCAGAAGATAAATTGCTATAATCAGGGCAGTCTCCAACCAAAAGCACCTTTGTGTAGTAGACTCAAACGGAACTCCTAATTCCTCCCTCCCACAAGCTTCTTCTCATGATTTCTTTCTTACAGAGACTTTTTCCCTAAGAGAGATTTAAAACACCAGTTTTTTAAAGTGGAAGTGGATGTTGTTTGTTGCACAATTATTCACTTGCCCAATATTTATATTTCCAAAGGAGAGAAGTGGTTTTGTGTAGGAATCATGTCTCAGACTCTAACACTAACAATGTTTCTACATCTGGACTTCCCCCAAGCACAGGGATGGAGTTTACTAACAACAGACTTATCATGTTTAGGATAATTAAGAAATATGTAGACAACTCAGTATAACAATGCATCATGCATATATTTAAAGTACTATGAATACAGCATCTCCTGTTTTCATCACTTGTCCTCAGTCTTTCCCCAACTAACATGAACATAATAACTCTTTTCCCAACAACCAAACTATCCCACATTAAAACCTCTAGGAGGACAACATATGTTTCTACTAAACAGACTCAGGATTAGCTTTTATAGGATGCCTCAAAACCATATTTTTATTCAACACACACACACACACACACACACACACACACAGCCTTTACTATGTCAGGGAGATGACATATACACAACTATTTCCTGAAAGACGCAGCAAAATCGGAGAAATCACCCAACAACTTAACTACTGCAAAGTCTACAAAGAAACAGATGCTACCTAAGGAAATCCTCTAAACCTAACATTTCTACCTCAAATCTTTCCTACATTCCTTACTTTCAGATCTGTTGAGTTGCTTTCAGAACCTAAGACATAGAACCCACTGCCAGCACCCTATTCAATTTAACGTTATAAGAGAGGAATGCAATTCATTATGTGTCTACTAAACAGACTCAGGATTAGCTTTTATAGGATGCCTCAAAACCATATTTTTATTCAACACACACACACACACACACACACACACACACACAGCCTTTACTATGTCAGGGAGATGACATATACACAACTATTTCCTGAAAGACGCAGCAAAATCGGAGAAATCACCCAACAACTTAACTACTGCAAAGTCTACAAAGAAACAGATGCTACCTATCAAAATGGATGAACAGCACTGAGGAAATCCTCTAAACTTAACATTTCTACCTCAAATCTTTCCTACATTCCTTACTTTCAGATCTGTTGAGTTGCTTTCAGAACCTAAGACATAGAACCCACTGCCAGCACCCTATTCAATTTAACGTTATAAGAGAGGAATGCAATTCATTAGGCCCAGCCTTAACACAGGCGGCCCTATAATATTTTCATTCATTCTTTTTTCATTTCTCTCTTTTTCTTTTGGTGTCATATTTGAATTAAACTGTTAAGCACTTTCACAGCGATGATAATTTGGGCATGAAACTCAATCCATCTCTTTTAAATTTAACTCCATACCTATGCTTGACAATTTCAATTCTTTAGTATTTCTGGCATTTTCACCACCATAATCATTCTTAAAACATATTACTGTACAGTAATACTATTTTTTTTACTTCCACCTATGTTCAACTTTCTTCTGCTCATAACTCTGCCACCTGCTCCTTTTTACTCAGCACATGGATCCAATCATATCTACCTCTTTTCTGTTCTTTATACTGGATTTGTCTTTCATTTTAATTTCCTATGAACATCTATCTCTCTATCCTCTTTTCAAAATTAGAATTTCTCCCTTTGTTTTCAATTTACTCACTTTCTCCTCACTGTGCCACGGTACTATAGATTGCAATTTTCTTAGTATAGCTTGCTGAGTTATACATACTCTTAACACCCTCAACAACAGTGAGAACACCTTAATGTTTTCTTGAAGAGGGTGAGAATGCTGCATTTCTAGTTTTCCACTCATCTAGGCACTAATTGTGACTACAGAAATACAGTATATGAAAGTGCCATACCACTACACTTTTTAAACAGAGCTTAGTCATAGGAGCTACTTGAGACTAGCATTACTATCTCTCTTTTCTTTTTATCAGTAGCCCTTTAATGTTCATGCAGATGGAGACAGAGACAAGAATAAGAAACATGTTCTGAGGCTTTGTGACTCAGCTTTATCTCCTTTCCTAACAATGAGTTTATATGACTTTCTTAACAGTACATATCTTTTTTGAAATAACACAGAAAGATTTCAATGCCACAGACCCTATCATGACAGAAAGAAAGAAATATTGTTTGTTTCAGGTCTGAACATTTGATGAAACTATCTGTGAATCAAAAAGAACACTCAATAAAGGCAGAAATATGGGAGTTACTTGGAATATTCTAAAAGCCTGAAGGCAACAATGTGAAATACAGTATCATAAAATAACTCCTTCTCCTTTTCTACAAGCTCAAGGTACCATCAATACATTTTATCAAGGTGTTTTTCAGACATCTAAGTATTCTATTTTGTAGCTGTTGCCATGGTGCTTATGTACTAATGAAGCAGCAAGGGAAATGATTCTACAGCATTTTGACACATCAAAAGCACATTACTGTATCTTCGCAATTAGATCTGCTTCACAAACCATCATAATAAGCATTCAGTAGGACCACCTTTTTAAAAGGGCCAGACATCCAGATATCACACCACATTCTACTACTAGGTAACTGCTGTGCTGAAGTCCTCTTGCTGCTTCTCTTCAAGAGCAGGAATAGCTGGAGGATACTTTTATCAAAGGGGAAAACCTCCCACAGATTTGAAATGAATCAAAAGAGTTCTCTACTAAGCACCACTTGTTTTTTCCCTAGGAGGAAAAAGACTTCTACAACACATCACTTGAGAGACAAGTTGTAACAAGTGTCTTTGGAAGCAAGTTCCTGGAAACTCCCAATCATCATGAAGGCAGATTCAAAAGACAGAGAAGCAATGTCCTCTCCACATACCTTTTGTACACAAATGCAAGATAATGGATTAACTGGCTCATCCAGTACAATGATGTTTGCACTACTAGCAACCGTTTGGTGAATTACCAGCTTAGTAAAATCAGCACTTTGAGCATTTAATTCTCCTCTTCCTTCATTATCTATAAATACCACCTTCAGTCACATGTATATCTGAAATGCTACATAATACTCATGCTTCTAATGAAATACATGAAAGTTTATGCTATAATTTGCATATGTGTCTTTAAAGTGCCACAGGATACTTAGATCTTTTGCAACCACACAATAATCACTCTCCTGAATGAGTTAATCAGCATGTACTATGTGGGAAACTGACCACAGTGCTGTTATCTTGGCAAACTGTGGAAAGCTGCCTATTTTTTCCTGTTTTATTCAAAGAGGGAGGGGCTTGCACACTCTAAAAAATCCAAATCTTCATTTGGTGGAAAAATTGCAAAGAGGAACACCAGTACCAGCTGCTGTTTGCTGTTTAGTCATTAAGCCATGTCCGATTCTTTGTGACCCCATGGACCAGAGCACGTCAGGCCCTCCTGTCTTCCACTGCCTCCCAGACTTTGGTCAGTACCAGCTACCAATACCAGCTACAGATGCTCAATTACAGCTTAACCTTAAATCCTGATACCCGCTCCTTGTTTAGAATGGGTATCATTTCCCTCCTGATCTAAAGAATCTGAGCTGCAAGCAATCCAGTATATAACCTCATCCAGCTCACTATCTTAAGAGAAGATATACAGTGGTGCTCCGCAAGACGGGCACTCCGTTTAACGACGAAACCGCTTGACGTCGATGTTTTTGTGATCGCAAAAGCGATCACAAAATGATGTTCCCTATGGGGGAATTTCGCTTTTCGATGATCGGTTCCCTGCTTCAGGAACTGATTCTCGCAAAGCGATGATCTTTTAACAGCTGATTGGCAGCTTCAAAATGGCCAGCGGGTAAACAAAATGGCTGCCCGCTGCTTTCTGGGACGGATTCCTCGCTGCACAGGCAGCTAAAATGGCCGCACTATGGAGGATCTTCGCTGGTGAGTTTCCAGCCCATAGGAACGCATTAACCGTGTTTTAATGCATTTCTATGGGCTTTTAAAAATTGCTTTATGATGTTGTCATTCTACAGCGATTTCGCTGGAATGAATTAACGTCGTAATGCGAGGCACCACTGTATTACACATGACACAGCTGACTGCCCAGTGCAGGACCTGGTTTCCTGAGAGGACATTAACATATCTCCCCAAACATGGCCACCCTACACTAGCTACCTGTTCATTTCTGTGCCAACGTCAAGGTAATGGTGTTAACATACAAAGCCCTAAATGTTTTGGGACTTCGTTATCTGGCAGAACGCCTCCTTTCAACCAGATCTGCCCATCCCGTAAGATTTTCCCAGGCTGGGTGGTTGAGTTTTGACCCCGAGAGAGGCTCGGAAATCAGTGATCAGAAACCGGGCCTTCTCGGCGATAGCCCAGCAATTGTGGAACGCTCTTCCACCTGAAATCTGGCTGGCGCCTTCATTGGGAACTTTTAGGTGATTATTAAAAACATTTTTATTTATACAGATCTTCCCAGACTCTACTATACCCTGATACAACAGTGCTAAAATATCCAGATAATCACTAATGTTCAACCCCCGCCATGCTTTCCTTATTTTTATTTTAATGTCTTACTGATATTATTTTCATGTGTCTATATTGTATTGATTATACTATTGTCCTGTTACTCTATTGTTTTGTCTTTATACTCTGTTTTATTGTGCTGTGGAGACTGCCCAGAGTGGCCTGGGTTGCCAGGAGGCGGTATATTAATTAATTAAATAATACAGATTAAGCAGATATGGTTTGAAACAGATAAGGGTTGCCCTATGCAGCATTTTTTTTCTATATTAATAAAGAGACCCTAAATACCATACCATCCAAGAGTCTGCAAACTGCGCTACTGAGCTGTGAATTAACATAATCTAGCAATTAAATTTGCATTCTAGTATGCCAGGTATTGAGAAGGAAATTATCAAAATTAAACTGGATTTTTTCCCTTGCCAATTTAAATCATGATTTATACTACACCACTGCACCCCACTAGTAAGCCATTGAGTCCTAGAATGATGGGAAAGAACTTAAAAAAAATTCTTACCAGTCCATAAGCAGTGCTTCTCTCGTGCTCTTGTGTTATGTCTGCCACATAAGCAAATATCACAGAGAAGGTCACAGCAAAAATCCCAGATACAGAAATCATAGCAAAATACCACCTGCAAAATGAAGATACAATTGTTGTAATGTAAACGTGAAAAAAAAACTTTCTGTAATTCTAAAACTGTGAAAAACACCAACTTAAGTTACTTTATCGCCTTTAATTAAGAAGATAATGTTGAACATACCCAATTAAAAGGGTCTTCCCAATTACAAGAGCCTTAGGATAAATCACTCTAGTTCACTATATCGTTCTAAAATCACTTCTAGTTTCCTTAGTACACTAAAAACCCCTACTGTCATTTGTGCCACTTACCATGGACTTATCTTCATTAATGGAATTGGGACACAAGTGAAGAAAACTGTAACCAGAAGGAAAGACTTTCTTCCCCAGACATCAGACAGAGCACCAATTAGTGGCGCACTCATGAAGGATAAAAAACCCTAAGAAAGAAACAATAGATTTTTAAATGCATTGATCTTTTATATATACATATATCTGATAAATTATCCAGCATTGTTACATTACCAGGGGTGTTACTCACTTACAAAGCACAATTTAAATGGATCAAAGAAAACAAGACTTGGAATAGAGGCAGTGTTTGCTATAAACTCACAAGGCAAGCTACCCAGCCAGCCACATTGCAAGGAAGGCTGAAACAGTTCTTTTGAAATCTGGCCATACCCAAGGACAGCAAGGGAAGGCCGTTTCCATGGCAGCAGCAAATGTGAACTATGCTAAACAAGTAGATGAATTGTTCATTCCAATGGGAGGATCCACCTCAACAGAATGAAGAATGCAGTACAATGAAGCCACAGATAGCAGCATGGAGAAAAGTACAATCACAATAGAGGAAAAATTGGTAAACTGAAGCAAAAGATGGGAAACATCCCAACCTGCACCCAATTTGGGAATTATTCATTAAAAAAAACAAGTCTGAGTTACTCGCAAATTAGTTTATTTTTCCCCATGCCCTCCATGGCAAAATTTCTTGCATTCCAAATAGTATTTATCCCATCCTTCAGATTCCCAGGGTAGCTTATAAAGTTTTAAGAAGAAACATGTAACATATGCTTAAAAATTAAACTTACCATATTTTCCGTGTATAAAATGACACTTTTTGCTTAAATAATTAGACAAAAATTTGAGGGTCGTTTTATATATGGAAGGCACCAGCTTTCCCTGCCTTTTGCAAAGCCACAGGGTAAAGCAGCTGTGAAAGGGCGGCAGGATCGCACGCCTCTGATCCTGAAGCAACCATGAAAGGGCTTCAGGACCAAAGGGGTGTGAGCGCGCAAATTTTCAAATTTTCTAATTTGGGGGCTAGAAAAGGGAGTCGTCTTATACACTGGGTCATCTTATAAACAGAAAAATGCAGTACATCTATACAAAGTAATATCAGCCGCAATTATTCAAATACGTATAGCACAGGACAGTAGCTAGCTTAAACAGGTAAAAGTAAGAAGCCAAGGGATGAGTGAAGTGAAGGTGCCTAGAGGTGAATATTTGTGGGCTGGAACTCTCAGAACTCTGCCTGGGGAATTAATTCTTGGGGAAAACCTGGGATTTGCAGCCACCCCCAATAAGGCAGATTCCCAACACCAAGAACTTCTCTTTATAAAAGCCTAGTCTGTGTGATGAACAGACTTTTGAAACATAATTTTCAACATCTCATTTTGCAGCTTTAAACAATATCTGCTCCTATTCCAGCTTTTCACTGAACTCTGCCATTCCAGTATACAGTATTAAGACATTTTATTTCCCGCTATTCACAGGTTACCTCCAATACTTTCAACCCTTAAGAGTTTTTCATATTTCCTATCAACCTCTTTTCTCTAAAAAAAACTACCTTACAGAGATGTACTATATCTTCTAGTTGAAGGCAAAAGATGAACTACCTCCCACCAGTGCAAAACTAGTGAATGTCAACACGAAACATATATTCAACACAGAACAACCTACATTCACCCTAAAGACAAAGCAGCAGTTTATTTCCTTACATTCTGGAGCAAAGAAAGAGAGAGAGAGAGAGAGAGAGAGAGAGAGAGAGAGCGAGAGCGAGTAACAGTCAGACATCTAAAGTACAATTTCTGTCAGATCTGCATTGCTGCAATACCAGAGTATCACAAATGTCTGGAAGAAAACCCATGCTAAGTGGCATAATACCTGTGGTTTCTCCAAGTGCCAGTGCACTGATTATTTTGAAGAGTTTCAAGTTAAATTACACATATAAAGCCAGCAAATACATTTCAATGCTACATACTGATGCATTTGTGTTTTAGAATTCCAAGTATTATCCACACTAATATATGGCAATGACAGCTATCTGACACTTATCTGCATTTATCTAATGGATCCTCACAACATCAGGAGTCTGACTTGTCATGAAAACTGTCTCCTCCTTTTAGCCTAGAATCATTCTCAAAACTATTCAGTGTTCTTTAACTCTGCAAAGTAAATGTTACTGCAAGCTGACTAGGTATCTATGACAGTGACCTATGTGCCCTAGAGCAGTGGTCCCCAACCTTGGGCCTCCATATGTTATTGGACTACAACTCCCAGAAGCCTTCACCACCACCTCTGCTGGCCAGGATTTCTGGCAGTTGAAGTCCAAGAACATCTGGAGATCCAAATTTGGGGACCACTGCCCTAGAGGGCACAGCACCAATCCATTCATGGAAGATCATGATCAAATATACTGTCCCTGTTTTCCAGCCACTCATCCAATTTCCAAACATTGATTAAAGTGTTTCAACATATCCAAACATGCAAACATTAGGTAGTTCTGCTCAGTTTATTCTGAAGAGAGAATTTGTATGTTTTTTATGCAGAATAGCCCCTCATTACCCAGGTATACTTCACCCAAGCATCTTTTGTACCAGATAACTGTGCTGGTGACAAGTGACACAGTATATTTATAAACTATATTGACAAACCTCTAGTGATTCCTCCAATATGCAGAGGTCACCACCCATACTGAATAAGTTGCCACATCATCTCTGTTTAACCATCAGAGAGCAAAAGCCATTTGTTATAAAAGCTTATACATGGCATAAAGCTATCATATATTAAAAGTTTTAATACACTGTGAGTTGCAAGCAGGAAATGCATATGTCCTCTCCATTCAGACTGATTTCACTTGCCTATCCCTCTGATTAATATTTGTACAACTATTTGTGATAGCATTTCAAGTTTGAATGGAATCACTGTTCCTCTTTCATACCACTCAAAACAAATCTTTAGACATAATTTGTGAAGCCTAAAAACCTGATTCTTTTAGGCTGGGCTGTAGGGACACAGCAGAAATTTGTACTGCTAAAAAAGGGAAGAAAGCAGGTGTTGCTTGAAGCTTCTGCAGGACTTAAAATGAAACTGTTAAGCCTAATGAAACTGTTAAAACTGTGCTCATAGCTATCAGAATGTTGTATCTCTTTGAATTAGGCAATGTTTGTACAAAAGAATGGTGCTGGTTTCTTAATTTTACTTCTAGTTTCTTAATTCTACTTCCACACAGTCTCTCCAGAATGCAAGCCCAGATTATTAAACATAGTTTCCAATCAATGCTCAATTGATGACTCTCATTATTGGTACCAGCAAGATTAAAGATGCCGTGTATCTACATACGCAGCTGTAAAGATCCTTGGAATGATCCCTGTCAAAGCAAACTGCTGCTTTCTTCCCAGCAATCAGATCCCAGCAGATGGGGATCAGCAACGAAAGAACCCTTTAAATGTGAGCTCCTACCAGCAGGCAACTGCCATTCGGCTGGCGTGAAAGAAACTATATCCACAGTTGTATCTTTCCTAGCAAGATAACAGGAATATTCCAACAGATTAAGGCTGTTCATGAACTGCTGTCTTCTGCCTTCCATTCTACACTATACATAGGTATCCAATTTGCCTGACTCAAGAGCTGCCCCTTCACAAGTGAAAGCAGTCTTCTCTAGCCAAGGAAAAAGCCATAATCTAGTTGAAAGGGAAAGGAAGACATTTTATGCTAATCCTTCTCCTGCACCATTCCTCAATTGTTCTAGAGCAGGGGTCTCCAAACATTTTACAGTGAGGGCCACACTCGATATTTTCAGTTTTGAGGGCTGAAGGAACAGGAATCCACACACACACACACGCACACTGGCCACCGCCCCAACCAACCACTCCCACACGCACGCATGCCCCCTGCCATCCCCACGGAACAAATACCCACATGCCCCCCACACACACAGATCCCTATCAGCCCTCATGGACAGATGCCCACACGTACACACGCCCCCTCATGCTTGGGCTGAAGGCAACAGGCTGGACAAAATGGCAATGTGGGTCAGACATGGCCCGTAGGCCGTAGTTTGGAGACCCCTGTTCTAGAGTATTCACCAAGCCTTTGAAGTGCAGTTTCAGGAGGGTCATGGGTGAAGAGGCAAATGAGGGGAAATCACTACCGCAACCCATCTCTTCCACAGAGAAGTAGCTCCCTAAACAGAATTCGACTCAGGGTGATCATCATATCAACAGAATGAGATTCTGAAGTAATTCCTCATTCCCAAGTTTTCGTATCCTTAACTTTACTCTTCCACAAAGCCTTTCTTAGTGTTGAAAAATTGCAAGGCTTTTGCACAAGAACCTAAAAATCACACACTGATGAGACATCCAAAAACTTAAATGCCAGGGTTAGCATTATGGGGGATGAGTACTAAGCAGAATCTCTCCAGGCACATCTCTTGCACTATCTTTTTGCACCAATTTATATTTAATTAAATGAATAATAATAATAATTTTATGCTATCAAATTAATTCTCACTTAAGGTGAAGCATTCCAGGATTTTCTAGCTGCAGAATACACAGAAATAGTTTACCTTTACTTTCTTTTGGGAATACTCTGGACCTGTGCTACTTGTCCAAGGCTATACAGGCTGGCTCTTCTCCTGCAATGCATAGCGGAGAACTGCACCCCTGATCTCTGGCTCTGCAGCCAGGTATCCAACTCACTGAACTATCCATAGGCCACCTTTTTCCAATGAGTTCATGGCAATACAAACGGCTTTCCCTCATCACACTCCATACTTATGATGTCCCTGAAAGGTAGGCCAGACCATTACTCGACCCAATCAGCACCTAATCAGCTTTATGGCCAAATGGCAAGTTTGAGCTGCATTCTGGGGTAAAGCTAATCTCAATTAAGCCCCAATGAACTCATAGGTAAAAAATATGTGTAGAACCACACCCTTAGTAACATAAAATGTTTTTGTGACACGTGTTCTCAGTTCAGAATCTTCATGCCCATTACCTGCTTTGATGTTATTCCTGTTACACAAGCAACAGGTCAGGTAACAAGGAGAGTTCAGAAACATTGTAGTACTCTGTCGATTGGGCTACTCAACTATTCAAATGCAAAGGGGTGGCATTTGGGACACACTTTAAAGCATTCTTACCTTAACCCCCTGAATGAGGCCGTTCATTAGAAACGTATGCTGAGGAAATGTTTCGTGTAAAACCTAAAAAGAAATATACATTAGTAAAACTGGCTACCAATTCAAAGAAGCGTATAGTAAAAGAAATGCATGGGGGTGAATCCAGACATGCCTCTCTGCAAATAGGAGGGTTTCGTCCCTTTAGGGAAGGAAATGGGATTTTAGTGGAGGTCTCCCACAATAGGAAGAAGGGGAGCAATGTTTCTCAAATCCCCCCTTCTCTAGCTTTGCTGCAAGTGACACTCTGCTCAGGTGGATCTCTCTATGATAGAGATCATCCTGTTCCCTTCCTCTAGCATGAGCAGAACTGCATCAACTGCAAGTCTGGATCCAATGCGCTGTAATGACAGAACCGTCCAGACTGTCACAGAACTCATTCTGGCCAAATATATGTATCATTCAATCACCATTTTATATAAACATCCAAGGCCCACAGTAGCATATTCTGAGCAGTTGCCAAAACTGGCTCTACTATTTCAAACAGCTCTAAAATTTCACCTTAAAATTTCTCCATTTAGCAATGAAGCAGCTATTTCTTTAAATATATTTTTCCTATACTTCATGTGTCCAGGAATACAACAGATGTGATTGAATAAATAAAAAAGAAACACATTATCTGGTTCGGGAGGGGGGATTAGCAAAGTTATGCTTCTTCATACAATCTGCAAGCTGAATTTTTTTCCCAACTGCAACCTGAGACTTTTTTTTCATGTTCCAGCCTTTAAAATACATTTATGATAACTGTAGTAACTACAGTAAGGATGCTGGAAAAATAGGAAAACTGCAGAATATGTATTTTTTTGAATGTTATTTAACTTTTCAGTGCACCATCTCTAACGAGTACCTGAAACATCACAAGGAATCACCATGAACGTAGTGTGCTTCTGTTCCTATAACAGTTCTGCATCCCAAAATTCAGTTTACCTCTATGGGAAGCATCTAAATAGTGAGGAAGTGATATCTGTACAAGAAACTGAAGCTCCTGATGCATGGACAGAGTTCTTTGGGCCCCCCTAAGCCTTAATTATACACACATCACACCTGTACTTCAAATCTAGAAGTTACAGTGATGCCTTGCTTAACGATTGCCTTGCTTAAGCGATGGCAAAATGATGGTTTAAATGGGAAAAATCCGCTTCACAATGATCGGTTCCCTGCCTCGGGAACCGATTTTTGCATTACGACAATCTAAAAATAGCTGATCGTTGGGTTTCAAAATGGCCGCCTGGTGTACAGAATGGCTCTCCGCTGTTTTTAGGAGCCATTTTTCGCTATACAGGCACCCGAAAATGGCCACCCCTATAGAGGATATTTGCTGAATGGTGAGTTTTCAGCCCATTGGAACACACTGAACGGGTTTCAATGCATTTCAATGGGCTTTTTTTCCCGCTTTAGTATGTTTTCACTCTACAGCGATTTCGCTGGAACGAATTAACATCGTCAGGCGAGGCACCACTGTATTTGTAAACCTGACAGAAGAACAACTGATTAGAAAGGAGTGACATGCAAGGGCAAAAAGAAATTTGGAATTAATGGGAGGAGTCAGCAAATTGTTATGTTCCAAAAAAACCCCAAGAAACCTTAAGTCAAGGGAGCTGCATCAAGTTCCACTTTATATATTCTGCATTCTGTAACTGAAACACTTTCCAATTCACAATTTATGCAGAACAGAGGATGGGTAAGTTGATTCTGATCCAAAAAAATCTTCCAATGTTTAGCAATACTATACTACCAAAAGCAAAAATCACAGAAGCCAATCTAAATAAATCAGATTTTGACACTACTGTATAAATATTTTTTTAAAATTGAAACTGTAATTTAAATCATTATTAAATGAATTTGATTTTTTTAAAAAAATCATTCATATTTAACCACCCTGACAAAAGCAATATTAAAACTGAAGATTTAAAATCCAAGTTATATATTTCATTTAACTTTATTTACATCACAGTTTCTTGGATGCTTATCTTGCTCTGGGAAAACCAAATTTATTCAATACATTATATAATCATCCAAATCAATGGCTCCCAAAGGGGGCAATCTGCCTTGTCCCATGTGCACAAAGAACTGCCAAGAGGATAATAAAAGTATGAAGCTTTCACAAATGCAAACCATTTTATCTGCTTAAATAAAATTCTGCAGTGTCATTACTACAATTGAAGATTTCTCAAGAAAACCGTGTTTATCTTTAATTTAAAAATCATTCTTCACTAAATTGTTTTTATTTATATTTTTCAATTGCAATTTGAATTTTGAAACCAAAATTAGGAGGAGGTTCAATGAGATAAAGATGAGGCAGAGAAGAATAATAGTATCTCAGAAATTTTTAAAAAGGGTTATGATGCTTACTTTTATGAATCAATTACTACTTAACCAACCTTTTGCTGATTTATATTTTAAATCTCAGAGAAAAAAACTATTTCCCACACAATAACCGAGTTACAATTGGTGGCTGATGTTGAAATGACCATTCTCAGTGAACCAGCCTAGGTGCAAGTTGACACCCCCATCTGGAAAATGACACTGGAGTCATCTAACACTATGGACAAGTGTTCTGTAACATTTTAGCAGGGCTCAACCTTAGAGCAAAATGATTTTTTAAATTACTACTTTTGTTCCGGAAGACTCATTTAACCTTGTGAAAAATGGAAGCATGAAAGAGCTAGTTCAAAGTGCTGGGTAACTCCACCCACACCATGAATAGCCTAGCTCCAAGCTCCATCTTGACTCTTACTAGGCATTTTCAGATACCACAATAAGATATAATTCTTTAACATTCCTTACCTTAACTGGGATAACACAGCATACCAGTATATACTACTTAATTAATTCCATTGTTTGAATATGCTACATTTTTCATTCATGTTTTGTCTACTGTGATGTGTGAAACATGAACCCAGCCAAGTCAGAGAGTCAAGTTCTGATTTACAATAAACCAACCACAGACAGAAGCTCCCTGTTCTCTTTAGTCATTCCCACTTAGCATGGGAAGGATGGGGCAATACGTACTAGCTCACTGTTCCACTCCTGGCAGGCAGAATTCTAAAACTTCCTGTGTATTACATGAACCAATTTATCTCTGGCCAGCTTGTTCTACAGTACTGCAGTAAAGACTCTGCTCATGACCTGAGTTCAATCCTGGAGGTTTCACTCAACCTTCCATCCATCGGAAGTCAGTAAACTGAATACCCAGCTTGGGGTGGGGGGCAATGTGTAGCCACCATATTTAAATTGTAAACCACCCAGAGAGCTGGAGGTTTCACTCAACTTTCCATCCATCGGAAGTCAGTAAATTGAATACCCAGCTTGGGGTGAGGGGCAATGTGTAGCCTCCATATTTAAATTGTAAACCAGAGAGCGCTTTAAGCATAATGGGGCATTCTATAAGAAGCACATTTTGCTTTTTCTCACACACTTCCTTATTGTATCAGCTTACTGCCTTTATGTATTATTTTTGGCAATGTATTGACTGTGCTTTCTGTTGAGCCATCTGATCAGTGCACTGCAAAAGGTAGGGAAGGAAAAATTAATAACTCTATGTAACAGCTCTTGAATATTATATAGCATATAGGTGGAATAGCAACTTTGGATAATCTGAAGGGAAAGGAACAAAATAGCAGCAACTCCCAGATAAGTTGATAGGCAAGAGCTTCATAGGCTCACTTCTCCCTCTGATGCAGCCAAGTGTAATGGATGCTGTTTTAACTCTCCCTCTGGATGATTACTACAGCTTTCTCCAGACTTCATGCAATATACATAGCAACATATAAGACAGAACAGTTTTGCAAACACAGACCTAGGTCTTTGAGCATAATTCCAGTACAGATCTATCCAGATCAGTATGAACAGATCTCTGAAATACTGTTGAGTTATAAATACAAGCTAAAGACATCAACTGTAATTAAAATCTCCAGGTTAGAAAACTTACTGTAAGCATGGGTGTTGTGAGCAGCCCCCAAGCAAAAAATTCAAGGAAGATGACAATAACAGCATGGTACACACTTGGTCGGCCAATGCCTTGCTGTTAAGAAAAAAAATATTTATATTAACATAGTTCAATTTTTAGAAACTCACTTCTGAAAATGTTTTAACTGTTAGGAGAGAGCACTGTATTTTAAACTGAATACGCAGCTAACGGCTCTTTGCCAAATCATATGATAAATTTAGAGAACAATTACAGAGGATATGCCAATTACTACAGTAATAACACATCCAAACTCGCTATGTTTCTCAAAATTTATAATTAAACATACTCTCTCAGTTCAAAATAATTTCCTTAACCAATCAATTACATCCTTATAGATGTAAAAATTCTAGTATATCATCCAAATGTAACTGAGCTTCAACCAAATAAAAGCTATGCACAGTTATCTAAACACAGTCAGATTTTGGAAAACCCTCAAGATATAAAGAAAATTCCCCTCGATCTTTGGGAGTTAATAGGAAGAAAATGCATATTAATAGAAAGTATTTCATTTCTTCAAGAAACTTGCTCAAACATTCAATGATATTTTTAGAAAGTGAAAATACTCAGGCTTTAATAATAAGCATATTTACCTTCAGCAAGTTACATTAATCTCAGCAGGACCTATTTCCAAGAAGGATGTACTAGAGTAATTGTTTCAAGCATCTGCTCAGTTAGCTTACAGAGTGTACTATTCAGCTTCCTGAGCAAATTTCCTTTATCCCATTCATTGGCTGAAATCCTGTTGCTTATTACGTTGCAGCCAGGAAACTGGAATTTGGTTAGTCAACTGATCCAATGGGGCTACCCCAGTTGCAATTTACTACACTAGATAACATGATTTTAGCCACTAAATTAATGAAATAGTCATTAATGTCAGAGTCAGTGCGGTATTGCTTCATATGACCCTGCTAGCTAGAGTGATGGAATTTTCTTATTTGTTTACATATTCATGCACCACCTTTCTCCCCAAAGGAAACTCAAGGCAGCTCACAACAATTAAACTATACAATAACTACAATTTAGAAATGCCATAAAAAACTATATTGAAAGCAATTAAACATGTATTAATATTAAAACTATAATTAAAAGGCATTTTAAAACACTTTTAAATAATTCTGAATTCAAAAAATATAGCACTCCTGAGACACCTCACCTATAAAGCCAGGCTGACAAGGAAGATCTTTTTCTGATGACAGAAGGACAAGAAAGAGAACTGTAGTATAACATAACTGGGGGCAATTTGAATGAGGCAGGCTGGATTAGAGCAGTGATCCCCAAACTTGGACCACTACATACAGTGGTGCCTCGCTTAGCGATCGCTCCGTTTACCAACGAAATCGCTTAGCGACGCTGTTTTTGCGATCGCAAAAGCAATCGCTTTGCAATGTTCTGTATGGGGTAGTTTCGCTTTGCGATGATCGCAGGGAAGCGATCATCGCAAAGCCCCCATTTTCGCACAGCTGAATGGCAGTGTCAAAATGGCCACCAGGAAAAAAACATGGCCGCCGCTTGTTTTTTGGGACAGATTCCTCGCTTTAGAGGCACCGAAAATGGCAGCGCTATGGAGGATCTTCGCTCAATGGTGAGTTTTAAGCCCATAGGAAGGCATTGAAGGGGTTTCAATGAGTTTCTATGGGCCTTTTAATATCACATCGCGACATTTTCGTTCTGCAGCGATTTTTGCGGAACGAATTAACATTGGTAAGCGAGGCACCACTGTATTGTTGGACTTCAACTCTCAGAAGCCAGAGGCACCATGGCAAATTGTCCTGGTTTCTTGGCACGACAATACAACAATATTCAGCAACCCAGCCATGGTAACTGCTGGGTTAAAGGACCAGCCTAGAAAAGGATTTATCATTGTACATCTACTCTCTCCATCTTGCAGGGTTGCTGTGGGGATCACAGGGAAAGAAAGGGATAACCATATATCATTTTGAGCTTTGCAGAAGAAAAAAGGGACACAGATGTAATAAAAAAACCAACAAATACTAGCAAATTAAGTATAGCTTACTACACACTCTATCCTGTGAAACTGAACAAAGTCCAGTTCTTCTAATCATGTACTGAACATGAAGATAGTTTTGCCTATGAAAGGCTTGCAAAATGTTTCCTTTCGGCTGTAACATTCTCCCCTTATCAACAATGACAAACTCCATCTCTAGTAATCTACAGTATAGTCTCTTCCTGTGCATACAGAATGCTGCAGTCAACAATAATGACATGATGCTCTGCAGCACCACAGACCACCTATATGATATTCAGTGTTTTTCTCCTCATAAAATTAAATGCTTTGATGCATAAAATACATCAAAATTTGTATGATAAAAACATTTTTTTGGTATCTGTGCCAATGGCAGATGTTTTTATACACCATATATGCTATTAACTAAGCTTTCAGGTTATTTAATCTAGTACAGAAGCACTTGAGTGGAAGCAAGGGAAGTATATTCTACAAATTGTAAGCTACCTCAAAGAGAAAGCAGTTTGAAATTTCATCAACAATCCATGAGTTATCTTTATGTTAAATTTTAAGCACATTCCAGCCTAACCTGATGATACAAATCTGCTGCAGCAATTACATCAAGTTATGTGTATTAAAAGGTTACTCCCCAACTATATTAACCTGCTGACAGAATGTTGCTTCCTGTTAAGATGGGGAGATCTCCCCTCCTCTACTGACATCTTCATAATCCACCCTGAAGGGCTAGGCCACCTTTAGGTTTGATATCACTAGGAGCGACATGATATACAGTGGAGCCCTGCATAACAAGCGATTCATTTAACGATGAATCCGCATAGCGATGAGGTTTTTGCGATGGCAACACATCGCTTTGCAATGATCAGTAAGTGTTTCGCTTACCGATTTTCGCATAGCAATGTTTTAAAAACAACTGATCGGCTGTTCCAAAATGGTCACTGGGTAAATAAAATGGCCGCCCACAGTGTTTTCGCACCCTTTCCTCGCTTACCGGGCAGCGAAAATGGCGGCCAGATGGAGGATTTTCGCAGAATGGTGAGTTTTTTCCCCATAGGAACGCATTAAACGTGTTTTAATACGTTCCTATGTGCTTTTTTGCCCCGCATAGCAGCAAATCCGTATAGTGACTATTTTTTCGGAACGGATTATCGTCGCTATGCGGGGCACCACTGTACAGAACAAAGTCTAGTTACACACAGAATTCTGCTAACACAATCTGGATTTCAATCAGAATTTAAGTAACAGCCCTAAATGGTTTCGGGGGAAAAACTGTGTAAACTTTAAAATATATGCTGGTATAGTTTATTGGGTTGGAAGACCTAAGTGCAGAGCTGAGGGCCACATATCTGAATCCCCACTGTGTCTCACAGGAGAGGAGCCAGCTGAAATCATTTGGAGAATGTATCAACAATGGGGTTACATGGCCTGCCACCCAGAGCAACACCAAAAGGAAAGAGCAGTAAACTACTTCTAAGTACCTTATACCTAAAAACCCTGGGAAAGCTGCAGTAAGTCAGAATCAACATGGCAATCTATAACTATTATATTCAAATATTTAATTTTTAAAAGTACACCTCTCTATTAACACGATTGGCCCTATTATATTCCTCTTTTCAGAATACTGTTCTCAAAACCGACCCCTAGGTCTGACAATCTACTCTTCTTCCTAATTCTACTAAATAAACTGACAATCTTACTTTGCAAAAGAAAATTCACACACATGCCAGATCTCTGACAAGCTTAAGTTCTTACTCTGAAGGTGGATTTGATTTAAATCACAATTAACACGATTGGCCCTATTATATTCCTCTTTTCAGAATACTGTTCTCAAAACCGACCCCTAGGTCTGACAATCTACTCTTCTTCCTAATTCTACTAAATAAACTGACAATCTTACTTTGCAAAAGAAAATTCACACACATGCCAGATCTCTGACAAGCTTAAGTTCTTACTCTGAAGGTGGATTTGATTTAAATCACAATTCAATTTATCACTCTGAAGGTGGATTTGATTAAAATCACAATTTAAATAATCAGTTTGACAATGTAAATTAACAATTCATTTTTAAAATTTAAAATGTGATTTAAATTAAATTCATTTTTTAAATTTAAAATGTGATTTAAATTGTGACTTTTATCAATTTTTTAAAAAAAATTGATTTCATCCACCCTGCCTCTCTCACATGGTGGTGGTGACAATTCACTTTGTCTTCATCTGCATATGTGTTAGATGGCCACTAAGGGAAGCAAAAGGAGGGGGAAGGGCTAGTGTTTCAGCCAGGTAACAGAAAGGCAACAATTTATCTTGTGCACACAATTTCTCTACTGTGCTTATGTCTTCCCCTCTTCTTACCTTAGTTAACATGCTAAAAAGTTTTTTTAAAAGAATATAATCAAATTTCACAGAGGTATTTATTTACCTTTGAAGATGAAATTTTGGAATGAAACTCTGATTGTTATGGAAATTAACCATATAATGCAGATTACAGTGGAAAGCTTCATTTTGACAATGTGGGTTGGCACCCTAACCTTTTAATTAGAACTGTAACAAAGACAAAATAATAGTTGTACCAACTTTCCTAATATATGAAGCTTATTTCACACAGAAACAATTTTCAAGTTCTTCCTTTATGACAAGATTGTTCACTAATACAATTCCTCTCAAATACAATGTTTCTCATTTTCATTTTCTTCATAAAAGTTATCCACAATGAATTCTTCGCTGACTGAAACTAATACTGAAAGAATCAAGAAACAACTTTGGCAGAGTATTATTTAAAGCCAAATCTTCTTCATGACTGCATTTTAGGAAAAAAAAGGATGCCGCAGAGCCCACATCCATCTTCATGCTAACAAATGACATTTCTCTCTCAGAGACTGGGATTATCATTCACATCATAACGTAACGGACTCAACCCAGATTATCCCCTTGCCTTTTTGTTTTGATGCCTAGATCTCAAATGATCCACACAGGCCTGCTAAAAACAACAATAACAACAAAATACACTTGTCAAGAGAGGAAACGGTCCATATACTGTATGATTTCTAAAACATTAGAACAGGGGTGGATAACC